GAGAGAAAACTCGCGATCAGTCTGACGTAGCAATCGCTCCCTCCCGCCTCCGCAAGGCACTCGAGCAAACCCGCATGCCACACAGAATCGAAAGCCGACCGTATATCCAGAAAGACCGCTGGCAGGTTCTGCCGTCTCTCGAGGGCAAGGCCGATCTCCGTGTGACGCCGCGTGAGCTGCTGCGCAGAGCTGTGATCAGCTCGAAAGCCAAATAATTCATCTCTGAGAAGATTGAGACGACGTATTTCCTGTTGCAAACGTGACAGGATCAGTCTCTCAAACGTTTTCCCTAGGATGGAGAGTAGACTAATAGGTCTATAGCTGCTCGGGAATAGTTTATTTTTGCCAGGTTTTGGTATTAGTGCAATGGTCGCAATCCTCCACGCCTTGGGAAAATAGCCGCACGCAAGGCAAGCATTCAGGAGCTCGAGTAAAAACTAGACTCCGCGCCCGCCCAGAGCGCGCAGTTGCGCTGCGGTGAGACCGTCCGGGCCACCCGCCTTCGCATTGAGGTGTTTTAGCTCATCTCGAAGCTCCTCTCCCGTTACTCGGCGTGCCGAGGTGGGAGAGGGCAAGAGGCCAATGGTATTGCTGCTGACCGCACGCGCCACTGGCGCACCACCAACAGCGGTGGCGGTCAATTGCAGCGAAGCGGCGCTCGTGGTACATACGACCGTGGTACATACATAATTTTATTTTTTTCTTAATTTATTTATTCTGATTTACTTATTTACTAATTAACTAGATGTTAACTTGACTCGGTTTATCATTTCATATTTCCCTTTCATAAATCCCTCTATTAATTCCTTCCGTAAGGAAACTGAATTCAACTGTTTTCATGTTTCCCTCGTAACTACGGACCTCTGGATCCAGATATATGCAGCGTATATCGAGCTTCTTATCGAAGGCAATAACAAGCTGCAACGTATCAGAAAAAATAAAAATATTTTTACAGTGTCTTAGAACCCTAGAAAAGAATCGAAAAAAATCACAAAAGTTCCTCCTAAAACACAAATTATTGTGAATTTGTTTCAGATTGTTTTGGCTGCTGGGCTGCAGTTAAAAAATAAAAACTATTTTCCGTCTTTTAAATCACCTTGACTTTAAATATAATTTGAAAATGACTGCAACAGTGATGTGCATTTATTTTAGTTTTTATTATACATTTGTACAATTTGTACATACATTGTTGTAGCAGCCAGTACCATTTTGACATTGGATTGTAGTTTCAAATTATACTTTTTTTAAAGAATTCCGATGCTTTTTATAAATACGGATACATCATACGCGACATATAAGACGAACGTTTTAGGCAGTTTATGAGAAAATAATTTGGTCACACGTGATAGGTAAGTGTGTAGATAAGATAGACATGTGGGGAAATGAAGGGGAACAGGTTGGTCCCGATTGACTACAACTGTGTTTCACTGTGTCTTAGAATATCGACCCAGGCAAGAAAAAATCTTAAAATTTCATCTCACAACGCTTGTGAATTTTTTGATATTTGTATAATTGCTTGGCCATAGTTAAAAAAAACTGTCATTCGAAGCCAAGTACTTGGCTGTCCGATAGACGCCGCGTCCTAGGCACCTGCGACCTTCCTCTAGGAGGAAACGACCTAGGACGCGGCGTCTCCCGGACAGGTAAATAGCTACTGACTCCGGAAGCGGAGGCCGACGCTCTCACATCTGTAGATGTTTCAGACTAGAGAAAAAATTGTATTTTCCCTTATCTAAATATTTATTCTTGTATACATTAAATAAGTATATACATTCCGGACATCTGTAAAAACTCTGCACTTTGTTAATAATAATTGTATGAAAACTGAAATTGATTTAATGTAGCACCCAACTGGCAAATCCTATCTTCCGGAAAGTGGTTTACAGCATTATAGACTCGGTACTGTGCCAGAGAAACCATTACAATATTAATGAACGTTGAAATAAAAATGCACATAAAATAAAATAGTCACCTTAATTTTATCGTAAAAGATAATTTTGGTTATTTCCTTTAATTTAATTGTACATTTATTTCGGCTTCTCTTTTCTGTACACTTATGCTATGGAGAGGGGGGATCCAAAATAACTAATTGTAAAAAACGTCGATCATAAAAGTCGTATTTTGTAGAAAACGGCCTAAGAACATAATCCGGCTCCAACCTGTTCCTCTTCATTTCCTCACTGTCGTCTGTCATAATCTGCAAACTTTTATTTTTTCTGAAATCTGATCGATGTAGGATGGGTAATTGTCTATCCACCAGAATCCCTCTTACGAGGTTTTGCATCAACGGTTTCTTGTAAACTGCCAAAAACTATTGCCTTTCCTTAGCGTATAAGATACTTATACAAAGAGTTATAAAGCTTTAAAAAATGATAATTTGTAACTAAATTACAAAGTCAAAACATTACTGTGTTCTACAATAATGTATACAAATTTAGTATAATAAACACTAAAATAAATGCACACTGTTGCAGTCATTTTCAAAGTACATTTAAAGTTAAGGTCATTTAAAGGCAGAGATATGGTTTTTTAACTGCAGCCCAAAAGTCGAAAAAAATTGAAAAATTTCAAACAATTTGTATTTTAAGATTTTATCAACACGTTTAAGATTTGAATCAAGTATGTTCCGGGGTTTTAAGACACAGTAAAAATTATTTTTTGTATTTAGTATTTGTATTTGTAAAATGTCTTATTTGATTTTCGGTTGGAAAGAAGTAAAAAATGTTTGTCTGATAGTATAAATTGTGCCCTTATTTATTTTCTCTGACAGATAAAATAGTGCTAAGTTAACGAAAAATTTAAAATTAAAAAACACGTTTTAGGTTGTAGAGGGCTGTGGATGGTGGGATGAGGGCTAAGAAACTGTCCAAAATATTATTTTTATGTTATAATTATAGTGTAATACTCATATGTCATTTGGTTAAGGGAACTTTTTGCCAGCTTATCCGGGGGTACCCTTCAAGATTTCTACTCAACCAAATTTCGTGATTTCGCACAAAATTCAGACAAAAATACAGGAAACGTATATTGGGAAAATATTGTAACATATTAGCCAGCGTGCCTCATGGCATCTATTTGGGGACGCTTGGTAGAGGATTAGCCTCGCCACAGGAAGAATGGTTTTTCCGTAAAGGCAAGAACGCGGAAACGGGAGACACAAGGCTTTGGGGTATCCGGCCTTTAGAAACTTTTCACTGTTATAACAAGCGAGGGGGTGGCGTGACGTAGTAGGTCACGTGGGCCTCGCCTATATAACAGAGTGTACAGAGCCAGTGGGTGGGTTCTGGAGACGGTGGGAGAACCTCGTGCGTGTGCACAAAACTTGGCGTCACGACGGTGCATATGCGAGCCAGGCTCGCGAGGCTCGAGTCACTAGTTGACGAAGCCTGCGGACTTTAGGTCCTTGGGTGACTGCGGTCACGGGGGAGCGATGCTGTGTGCGTGCTCCGAGGTGAAGAGTGGTTGAGTGCCACGATTCACGCCGATTCTCAATCGGATAAGATCGCTCCTGCGATCGAGGCAAACCAGCCGTTGGTGCGCCAGAACGGACTTTGTGTCCCAGCGTGACATCCGGTCACGGAAGCTAGGCTTTGTGCGCGCTTCAAAAGTAGGAGTGGCGAATGCCACAATCAAAACCATCTTCAATCGGGTTTGGATCGCTCCCGCGATCAGGGGATAGTAGATCTATCAGAGCTAGGGTGTAAGTAGATTATTAAGTGTATATATTTGTTTTGTTTTCTTTGTTAATAAATATATTGTTATATGAAAGTTCTGTGTCTGTGGTCGCTGTGAGTATCCATGACGTCACAATATTAATTCGCGAATCGAACTATTAGAGTCGGGTACGGTTTGCCTGCGACAATCTTCCATCCTTTTCCTGAAAGCCTGAGCAAATTTAAAAATAAATTAGTTTTCTGAATGTTGATAAATGTTTTACAAATATTTTTAATATTATGCAATGTAACTAACTGTGTCTCTCATGTAATTTATTACTATTATTATTATTATTATTATTATTATTATTATCATTATTATTATTATTATTATTATTATTATTAATTATCTGCAGTGCAGTGGCGTTGTGAAACTAAGGGAAACGAGTGTGTAAGAAAGATATTACAGCTCAGTATTCCGCTGTACGGTGAAGTGAAGTGTGGTGAGGTTGAGTGCTATGAAAGTTTGTACAGTGAAATGTTAACGTTAATTTGTAAAGTTGGTAAATTTTGTGAAGTTGTTAAGTTATGTAATAATAAGATAGTGGATTCTGCCACCCAGTTCCCGAACCTAATTGCAGAATTAGTAATACATCTAATCTAATATTTTGCTTTAAATGAAAGGTAATGTGTAAACGCTTGCTATTATTATTTAAGTTTGTAGTATAAGCATTCACTTTAATTGTATCTTTAAATTAATTGAATGAACGCTCAACTATCGAAATTTTTATGTTATACATAAAATAACATTTTCCTCGCTCTCTATACGCTTTTCGCTATAACGCTTTCCTCGCTTCTCCTATTTCTGTTCTTGTACTTCTTCGTCTCCTTCGCCTTCTTGGTTACCAGTATCTCATAATAAATATGCTGAAATATAAATAAATATGCTTAAATGGAAGTTCTACAAGGTTGACCCAAGTAATACTGTATAAAAAATTTGTAAAGAAAGTTAGAGATGAGAATTAATTAAGACAAGTACTCATGTTTATTCTTTTACTGTTTTCTTTCGTTTTAAAATTTTTTGATGTCACAACTCCATCTCTGAAAATACGTATTATTATGGCTACAACTTTGGATTTTCCTGCCAACTGTAATTGTGAAGTAAATACTAGAATTGCATGTAATAAATGAAATAGTATAATTACAACTGTGTGGCAAATATCTTGGCTTTCCGTGAAAAACAAGAGCCATGGGTATATTATATTTTCGGATACATTATTTGCGTTACTAAAGTTAATGGCCATACAAATATAGATTGCAAAATTATATCCAAAAATTAGATCTAAACATTTTATTATATTTTTGTTTTCTTACTTTTTAATTATTTGAATTGTAAGTTATTATTACTTAACATAAATCATCTAAAACTGCATTCAAATTGAAACGCATATTTTTGTAAACAATTAAATTCGAAGTTTCGGCTTTATAAATTTCAACTGCAAACATACAATTTCGTAGCATTCACAAACGTCAAACTTTCCACCATTTTTTGTTCATAAGTAAATTAAAAGCAGTTGTATTTTGTATAACATTCACTCCGTAAAATATGCTATAAACTTGTTCTCCTAAATAATCGCTTTTAAGGTGCCCCAACTGCACCTTTTACTCACATGGAAAATAGTATACACTGCAATAAAACCTTTAATTTATTTTTATAACAATTGTATTTGGTTCTGAAGTTGAAAGTGGTTCTGAATGTGGGTCTATTTCTTCACTTCAGCCTCGTCCTCGGCTCCAGTATGGTTGTACTTAACTCTGATTGTGGCCTTTAATCTGGTCTTGGCTTTGTCTGGTCCTGCTTTTACTTCCAATCCTAAGCTTCGGTCAGTTGGTTCCAGGCTGAATCACTTCCTTAGATCTGATCCTAAGGTTGGGCTTGGTTCTGGGTTGTTGCAGAGTTTGACTCTGGTCCTAGACTTGGTTTTATTGTGTAGTTGGGTCCGGTCTTAGCGCAGGGCCCTTCCAACAGTTATGTCTGCTCCTGGGGTTGGGTTTGGTTTTGAGCTTTTGCATCAGATCCTAGACTTTTGCTTGGATCTGAACTTGGACCCTGTCCTAAAGTTGGGTCTGTTCCTGAGCTTGGATCTTCCCCTGGTCTTGGTCCTGTCCCTGGGCCTGGTCCTGTACCTGGGCCTGGTCCTGCAGCAGGCGCAGATGCAGGTGGGCGTTGCGGCCGAAGACGCGCAGGAGGAAGCGGCGGCGCTCGCCGGGCTCTCCCGTGTGTGGCACCACCACGTAGCGCGCGCAGTGCTGCAGATGGCAGAAAGCGTGGGCTGCGCTGCAGGCCTCCTCGCTGCCCGTTTGCGCCTCCTGCTCGCACTCCTCCTGCAGCTGCAGGCGCGACAGGCGCTCGCCCGCGTCCACTGCCGCCACCGCTGCCTCCCCCACCACCTGCAATGCGACAGGACCATTTTACAATAAATTATTTTGCTTGTGGAATAGTATTCGTTTCAAACACTATTTATTAAACTGTTTTTAATATCTAACATTTAGTTATTTTCTCTTTCTTACAAAAGTTGTGGAAGAACATGACTACAATACACATTCTAGCTAAGAAATATGTTATCGTTAGTTCTTGCAACTTGTTAGTTATATTTTGTTTATAATAATTCAATTTCGTTTTTCGTAATACTGTATTCTTTTTAACATTTTAAAGGAACCAGACGGCAAAAAAAGGTATTCTTAACGGCCGGTGTCCGTTACGAATTATATAGTCCGCCGTCAGTTAAGAACAATGAAAACAAATGAATTGAAGCTAAATATGAGTACACTTATTCCAATAATTAATTATTCCAAGTCAGGAAATTTCATTAATAACTTTTCACTTCCCCGTATACGTACGTTTTACATTTCCATTTACGTTCCCCACACGGAGTATTATTCGTTGGGAAAGTTACGTAATGCTGCGGAAAATACATTTCGAGATTTCAACGGAAATTCACGTTTTTGGTTCCCCTGATACTGAAAAATTGTTTTTTTCAAAACATCCGTCTGTCTGTAAACACCTTTATTTTTAAATCGAACAAACCCCAGTCCATCCGGCTTGGGTCGATGCTTTGAGATTTTGAAAAAAAATTCTTTAAGTTGTAGGTACTTTACCGGACATTCTCAACATTTTCTCAAAAAACGGCTCCAATATTTTTCTTTAAAGTGCTTGTAAGAATAGAGTAAAATATACATATAAGGATGGCTTATAAGGTATAACTCTGAATTTTCAAAAAATTCAATCATTTTCGGGGGTCTTCCAACAACTACAAACCTGAAGAAAGAGATTTTTCCTTCAAATAAATTTTCGGTAGGGATAGTGTTAAATGTACTGTTTAAAATGACATAAACATCAGTTTGCTCTATTCTTTTGTTTATTCCAAAATTACGAAAATGTAATTTTTACGTCACTCTCACGTCGTTAATATTAGTGGCAATGTTATTACATTAATGTACTTATGCGTACATGTGCCTTAAATAATGTCAGATGAAGTTTCTCGAAAACTCAACAGTTTTCCGTGAAAATGAGCACAAAATATCACATTTTCAGAAACGCTCAAACGCCATTTTAAAAAAATGCTCACATTTTTTTCTTCAAACTTTTCAAACAGATAGTGTTAATTGTACTTTTAAGATGATATAGTATTAATTTTGCTTATTCATTTGTTTTTTTCAAAAATTACACAAATGTCATTTTTTTAAAGATCACTCAGGCTTTGAATATTCACATTTTTAGCAATCTGTAAACACAATTGCATTTGTGACTTGACGTGCTTGAAAGGACGTAGTAGGGGGAATATGTGGGTCTGGGATCAGGAAGTTGATAAGATAAGCTGATCTTATCGACTTCTTGATCCCAGACCCGCATGTACCTCAGCGGCCCATGACGTCATATCAGCTGACGGCGTGGGCCGGAGACGTGGAGATGCGGCGCGTGCGCGCGCTCTGCCGGCGAATTGCGGAAGCGTATGTGTGTGTGTGCGCGCGCGGTCTGACGGCGAAGTGCGTAACGTGCGTGTGTGTTTCAAAAATACCTGCCGTCCGAGGGGCGGATTCGAACTAGCCTCTGTCTCGTTTCCTGCGTGCTTGAGAAGGTGGGGGGTTACCCAGCGCTTTGGCTTTGAGCTACGGCGACATCTCGAGCAGAGTTGTCTGGTTAGGGGTCCTGATTTACGCGTGGCAGGGGCCGGCGGCAACGGCGGCGGCGGCGCAAGTAACGAAGGAATTCGGGAGGGGGCTGAAGCCCAAACGAAACGAAATACCGCACCGCTCGGCCTCGTTTCACATACGCGACGAAATGAGTACCGTCGCCGCTGGCGTTGTCGAGGTTGACGACGCCGCACTCACGCTCCGCCCTCGTTCTTTCGGGCAGCGCATCTCGCGTAAACACGCCAAGAAAATGTGGAATGTTCAAAATTTTCTTCGCAAAATTTGACATTTAGTCGTGCGTGAGTGCTCGACGCGGTACTCCGCTCAATCGTTTTTTTCCGAGACGTCCCCCTCCCCCGCCACCCCTTCGTCTTCTTGTTCGTTCGAAGCAATTTCGCGGACCTTAGCAACACGCCTGATTCTTTTTTTGGTCTCTTCCATGACCTTGTTATGACGCACTATTTCCGCAAATTCTTGGTTTTTATTTTTGGCGCTTTTCACAGCGTTTGCGATAGCGGCAGCGCCGCCTGCGACAATTCTGAGCGCGCTCATTCCGCTGAGGATGCCCGGAATCAGAGGAACGAGGGCAGGCAGAAACCCGCTTCTCTTACTCTTTCTATCGTCACGCGCCGTTCTCGTCGTCTTTCGCCTCCGTACCCCACTCCCCTGCAGACGACGACGATTCCGTCTTTTACAGGGACCGCCGACGCACCGACCTCGCAAAACAATGCCGCGACCCATTGCGGCCGGGGCAATCACCGCGCCGGAATCCGAAAGAGAATCAGCTCTTCTCTCTCTTGTGCGCCATCTCCGCCGTATCGCTCTATCGCATCGTCTTCTACAATCTTTCTTCGTTGTCGTTCTACACACAGTGCGAACCATACTAATACATGAGCGCAAGTGTCAAACTATATATATATATATATATATATATATATATATATATATATATATATATA